AAATTACCGATAAAAACTAGAATAGGGTGAAAAAGAAATCAAGAAGTTTTTGCAGGCATGATTAAGCAAAGATAGTTTTTTTTTTTGATAGAGCAAGAACAGGCTCTATTCTGCAATGGTGAGCAAAGATAGTTTTTTTTGCAGGTTATGCGATTCCCCTTTGGTCAGCTTTACCATTAAAGGTTTTATGGAAATGTTATACTATGTTGGGGCTCTTGACTGTGTTTGCCCCTAACTTTTTTTAGTTAAGTCATTGTTGAGTTTTGAACAAAGATGATAGGTCAGTTGGAAGGAACTTCTCTAGAGATGTTTTTCAATATTTGCTCGAGTAAGCTAGAAGTGAGTCAAGCTTTTGTTTAGAGACTACAACTCTTCTTGAAAATGGATGCTACAACGAGCACGCTCTTTATCTCCATTGTTTTTTTTTTGCTCAAAATTAGGTGTTGCAGACTCGTAGGGGACCCACTTTTTATTTTGGTGCATGCATGACAAATGTATGAACATTAAACCTATATGATGAACTCGCCCTTTGAGGGGTGACATATGATCGTAACTCTTGTATGATGAAACAATAATCTTGATTCTTGCCTAAACTCTACAATGAAATTTTTTTTATCATGGTTTTATATCATCATTTTGCACTTGAAGTATCAATAACTCCTTAACTAAAACATGTTTTATAATAATATATCTAATAATATAAGATACCTTTAATTTATGATAGATGTTTATTTTAAATGCAGGCCTATCACATAAATGAAAGGATTGATTGATGACTTTAAGAACTTAAATTGCAAGGGCAAAGAGATGACCAAAATTAGAAAAGAGATGTCGGTGCAATCCAAATCAGAACATGGTTCAGTAATTGGGTCATATCTGGAGCTATACATCTTAGATTTAGGTCTACTTTATATGGATGGAAAGGTAAGACATAGGCCTATAACTTTCATATGGAGTCCAAGATCTAAAAAAGCCATTTTCAAGTCCAAATTGTAGCAATAACAAAGAAGCCCGAATCTGTCCTCCAGCCCGAGCACTGTTCAGTATTGTGGCCATATCTAGAGTTCTAGAAGTCAAAATGAGCTGAAGTTTTTACACAAGACATATGAGACAATTACCTACAATTTTCATGTTTTCAAGTAGGTCCAATTTTGACGTTATCAATAATGTTTTGGGCACACAAAGGAAGATAAGGATTGTCACCAAGTCAAGAGTTGGCCACCCACTCATCAATTAGTCATCAAATCAATAGTTCTCAATTTTGGCCTATAAATGGAGGCATTTTCCATGCATTTAGGCATCTTGGTTTCCAGATCAAGATCATGCTTTTCCTTTCTCTCTTTGTAATGTTTATGCTTTGCTTTCATTAATATCAAGTTTATGCCTTTCATTTCCTTTCATTTACTTAGTTAACTTTTATCTTATTTATGTTCTTATTTTGTTTATTTATTTTTATTTCTTTCATTATGTCTAGCTAAATTTATTATGTCAAGGTGAAAAGGTTACACTAATGGTGTAAGAATAAGTATAATGTAAACTTAATATGGACTTTAATGTTTGATACTAACATGTTTTATATTTGTTATCTTGTTCACTCTTTAATACTTTGCTTGTTAAATGACTAATCTTGATTTATGTTGTATAACACTTGGTACAACAAATGCTTGGCACTTTCATAGCCCATACTGTATGGTATAACCGACACCTGAGCTATGAAAGGAACTTGATTTATTGTTAACATAAGTTATAATCATGAATGCTTGATGAGATTTACAAGTATTAGCATTAATCGAATAAGATGACTAATGTAATCATGTTAACAATATATAATCTGATTGGAACCTCATTTGTGTGAGGTTTCCAATTGAATAATAAGAGTTTATACTATACTTGCTTGACATACCATTAATGGATCTTCTAACCTTGACATTTGTTATTATCATTGTTTAATCATTACATTAATATTCCATCTCAAAATTCTCATCTTCTTTTTCTCCTTATTTTTCTTTACTACTACTACTACTACTACTACTACAACAACAACTATTATTATTATTATTATAGTTGTTGTTGTTGTTGTTGTTGTTGTTGTTGTTGTTGTTGTT